CACACTAGATGGATAAGTCATACTAAATAAAACTCATGCAAAAGACTCAATGAAAATAAATAAATAAATAAATAACGTTAACAAGATTTGAGTTCAAAATTTTTCTATAATACGAAATCGACCTCCATTTAAGAACTATAATTTTTTTAGATTTGGTCGCTAAATTTATCTACCACACATGATTTGAGAGTGATTTCTTGTCGAAATTAAAGGTTGAGTTTTATTATTATTATTTGTTTTTCAATGAAATTTTTGTTGAAAAATTATTTTGGTGAAGGAATGAATTTATTTTATAAATTGTTTCCTTAGTCATAATAAATTTGTTTGATTTATATTTTAAATCAAATTATTTAGTTAGTATGGTTTCAATTAAAATATAATACTCTCTTCGTCCGTCTCTATAGATCACATTTACCTTTTGTTTTTTCTTTTTGTTTTTTTTATCATTGTACTTAATATTAAAAAAAATTATATTTGTGTAATTTTCTTTTTTTTTTACAAATATTCTTTTATTAATATTATAAGACACTAATTGAAGTATTTTTACAATTTTTTTTTTAATTTATACTATATTTTGATATAATAATTAATATTTAAATATCAACACGTAAAAAATAAATGAGACCAATAGAGGTATTAAATAGTATTTGAATTAATATTCAAAATATAATTTTTTATTTTTTTATTTTTTTCAACCGTTAACAAGATTGTAATATATATATATATATATATATATATATTCATGTGTGTTATAAACTGATAAACATTACTCTATAATTATTTAGTTGCCTTTAAATCATTCTATCATTAATGCCTAATTCAAAACATATCTCATTATTAATTTTTGCTAGTTTTGATAAGATACTTGGCTCCATTCACCCACCTTTTTTTTTTTTTTTTTTTTTTAGATAAATTGATTTTTGTTATGATGTAAAGAATTGTGTCAAAAATAAAAAAATATATTATTTTAAGTTGAATATTTTAATTTTTTTACTTTATGTAACTGACTATATTTTTTTTTTTACTTTAATACTTTTATAAAAAGTATTTTTTTATTGTTGATTCTTATTTTTATGAATCACGAAAATAATGTTGGGTGAACAAATCCTCGTGTTCGCCTAGCTCCTAAAAAAGATATGTTTTTATTAGAATTGCAAATATTATGATTTTGTTCTTTTAAACAATTTTCCCACATATTTTCTCTAAAAAATTAATACACTACATACATTCATTATTTTTATATTTAATACATAATTTTTTATACCTCATATAAAAATAAAAATAAAAATAAAAAATCCTTTCCTATATGTTAATTTTGTATTATTTTTAAAATATGAAATTTAACACAGTTGTAGGGTTAGTTTGTTTTAGTTTGAATTTAAATTTTTTATTTAAATTTTAATTTAAATAGTATTTTAATATAATATTTTATAAAAAAAATACTCTCTCGTCCCAAAAGAGACGTCTTATTGGATGTTGGCACGAGAATTAAGGAAAAATATATTTAATTAAAAGTGAGTATAAAGTAGAATGTAAAAGACTAAAATACTCTTGCTTTTTGAAGGATTTTAAAACGTACGTTAGAGTAATAATTATAGGTAGTTTAGAAAAGTATGAATAATTTTGTTATAAAGTGGGGACTACAGTTACTAAATAAGAAAACGAGACAATTGTTTTGGGACGGACGAAAATAGAAAAACAAAACAACTCTTTTGGGACAGAGAGAGTAATATTTTTTTGTCCATAAATAAACTTTTTATTTTTGTCATTTTACTCTGTCCAAATCAAAATTTCTCATTTTTTTTAAAAGTAAAATTAACTTTCAACAAAATAGCAAAATACTCATATTTTTTATTTTTCAAATTACTTTTACTTTAATGTTAAAGGTAAAATAAACATTACACTATTTTATTACACTATAGATTTATAAATTACTAATTTACTTTAATTTAGGTGAAAAAAAAAAGTCAAATAATAAATTTACTATTGAACAGAAAAAATATATTTTTATTAAAAATAATATAATATTTTTAATTTGAAATAAATAAAACAAATAAACAATAAAATATTTTATACAAAAGTTAAAAGATCAAAATAATAATATTTATTACAAAAAAATTAAAAAAATAAAATCTTGGTACTGAATCCATGACCTCAAGATCACAAGTCCAATCCTATACCACTGAATCATCTCTAGAGACTATTCATAACACTTTTGTTTTGGTAAAAGAATGCATGTAGTTAAAATGTAAAATGGTGTTGAACTTTTAGTTTGAGTCTCAAACTATATTTTTATTATTCAACTGACATAATTTTAAATTAAAATAATAATATTTATTTTTATATGTGTCTGTGTGTTTTTTCTGTAAAACTGAAATAGGTTGTAGAATCACATGTTTTATATGGGAGATCGTATATGATTTTTATTTTTTATTTTCTTGAGAACAATAAAAATATTATACTCATGGATCCCAAACAATTGAGCCATTTTATTATTTTAATAGTGACACAGTATTTAAGGTGATAACGCTTAATTATTTAATAATAATAGTAAATTATAATAGTATTATTTTATTATTTATCTATATAATTAATAATATTGATAATTTTAAAATAAATTTAATATATATGATTAAAAAAATTTAGAATATATATTTAAATATTTTGAAAATTATATCACAATAAAAAAATATGTACAATATGAATATTATTTTGTAGAAAATAAAATTTTTTATAATACAAATAAACAAAAAAAAAAGTTTATTATTTACAATTAACATAAATTATTTTTATAGAAGATGTGGAATTTTAAATAAAGATAAAAATATTTGATTTTTGAAAAATATGAAAATAAAGAAATTTTAAGTGGGTTATACATGATGTGATATTGTTATATATCATGCAGTTAAATAAGTTGATTTATACTTCATCCGTCCTACTTAAAAAGTCTATTTTTTCTATTTCGGTCCGTCCCAACTAATTTATCATTTTTTTCGAAAATATAATTATACGCTTTAATAATATTTTAAATTTCATAATTTATGATTTTTTAAAAATTTTAATTAAATTATTTAGTTATTTTAAGTTTAATTTATAATTATTTTTATTATCTAATAATTATTTTTACCAATACACTTTTAAATTATTTAGTATTTATATTTTATGTAAATTCATGTATCTATGGTAATAAGGGCAATTATCCGAGACATAAGGAGTATTGGCTAAGTATGTTTTAAATTAGTAAATTTTATTCAAGATATAAATGTGTCAATTATTATGAGACAGATAAAAATAGATAATGTATCAACTAAAATGGAACGAAGATAGTATAAGATAAATAATATATGATACAACATGAAAGGGGTTTTGATTCATTATCATAGATATTTTGTTCATATCACTGTAGATAATAGAATTTAGGTAAAAATTAGTAAAAATAATAATATATTAAAAGTAAAATAACTAAATAGTATAATTAAAATTAAGAAAATTATAAATTATAAAATTTAAAATATGATGAAAGTTTATAATCATATTTTTAAAAAATAATAATAAATTATGTGGAATTGATGAAAATAAAAAATACAGATAAATTATGTGAAATTGACGAAAATAAAAAAATATAGACAAATTATGTGAAACGAATTAAGAAAGTATATTCCTTATAAAAAAAATTTCACATTGCATGACAAATAAATTGAAAAGAAAAAAATCTCCAAATAAATATAGCCTCAAAGTTTGTTTAATTTTATATATATTTTTTGATTTTTTAGACAAAAAAGTTTATTACTATATTTTCTATGAGAATTGTGTATGTTTCTCTATAGAAAAAGAATGTAATGTGATGAAGAGGGTGGTTGGAAGCCATTGTAGAAAACATAACACACTAGGGTGTGTTTGTTTCGCGGTTTGGATTTTGATTTGGGATTTAAACAGTAAAAATTTTGAATTTGAATAGTTGTATGATGTAATATAAATAGGTGTTGATGTGATGTTTTGAATGTAAAATTAATTTTCAGGATAATATAAAAAATAAAAAATAGATGTTTAATTTGATATTTTTAGAGAAAAAAAATTGGATAAATAGTATATTTAAAATCCAATTTTCGGGACAAACCCACCCAAATAAGTTACATTAGAGTTCGTTACATTTCCATTTGAAAGTTTGAATCTTTTATTAAAATAATATTACTTCTGACTCAAATAGATATTTATTAATTAACTAAATATTAATATTATATTCATATTTAATATAAATAAATATATATATATCGGCTGCGGCTACAGTTTTGCTGACAATACACGCAGCACACAGTGTTATTATCGGCAGCACACAGGTTGCATTCATATAATACAAATACAAAAATTAACAACACATATTATAGTTTTATACAGCACAATCAATACTTGATTTCATCACACTACATAATGTTATACAACACACTTGTATTATGAATTAATACAAATACAACACATGAACCGACAACACGTGTTATAGTCTTATACAACACAAATACTAATTGATTTCAACACACAACGTACTGTTATACAACACACTATAATTGACAAGCAACATCCCCTGTTATTATTATACACAATATGTGTTGTGTATAATAAGACTTTGTGCTATTTTTATATATTACAAGTGCTTATTTGAATTTTCCAATTCAGCACCCTAACTGTTCTCATATATATATATTTATAATACAGATATAATAACATTTATATAAAATCTTATACATATTTTAATCTTATTAAAAAACATAGCGAATATTTAACATGATATTTTGTATGGAATTAGAATAATACAATTTTGTATCGAATTAGAATAATAGTACAATTTAGGCTCTACTTGTTGGTTGCATCATTTGATTCGTTTCGATTCCCCATTCCTCGATTGATGGATGGATACAAAGAATAAAACAATACTAAAAAGCATCAAACAACATAACATAATTTGCATCCAGAGCGCACTAAAAAAATAACGAAAAATTCCGATAAGATCAGCACACAATAACTTCATTCATTAATACACCATCTTCACCAAGACATATACATATACCGGCAACCGGCTTGGCTACGGCATCGATCCATCCCCGACGGGACTACTTCCGTACCTGAACCCGAGCCCAAATGTATGTATGTATGTATGTATATATGTCGTACCCTATTGACTATAGTGTGCGCATAACAATACAATGCCCGAAAACAACGATGCAATAGTAAAGAAAAGAAACGAATCATAAACGTCGACAAGAACCCCAAACACAACACAGCAACCAAATCGCGCCCGAACAAACGAACCAACGATTACTAGTTCTGCGGCTTCTCCCATTTCAGCGACTTAACAGTCTCCCACGTGAAGTCCGGGTCATCTCTCCCAAAGTGACCATAAGCCGCAGTCTTCAAGAACCGGTTGTTGGCGCCCCTCCTCAAGTCCAAGTCGATCGATATCATCCCCGGCCGGAAGTCGAAGCTCTCCTTCACAATCTTCAGAATTTCTTTGTCGGGAATCTTCCCGGTCCCATAAGTGTCGACAAAAACCGACAACGGTTCCGGCACACCGATAGCGTAAGAAACCTGCACTATGCACCGGCGGGCAAGCCCGTTGGCGACGATGCTCTTAGCAGCCTGCCTGACGATATACGCGCCGCTACGATCGACCTTTGTCGGGTCCTTTCCCGAGAAGGCGCCACCGCCGTGAGCCCCCCATCCGCCGTAGGTGTCGATGATGATTTTCCGGCCGGTGAGGCCAGCGTCGCCGTGCGGTCCGCCGATCACGAACCGGCCGGAGGGGTTGAGGTGGAAGATCGTTTTCTCGTCGAGGTACTTCTCGGGGATGACGGGGTTGATGACGTGCTCCTTGAGGTCCCGCGCGATCTCGTCGTTGGTGACGGTCTCGTCGTGCTGGGTCGAGATGAGGACGGTGTGGACTCTGATTGGGACCATCGCGCCGTTGTCGTTGTGATACTCGACGGTGACTTGGGTCTTCCCGTCAGGCCTCAGCCATGGGCACGCACCGTTCTTGCGGACTTCGGTGAGACGCGCGCCAAGCTTGGTGGCGAGGACGTGGCTGAGAGGCATGTACTCGGGGGTCTCGTCGGTGGCGTAGCCGAACATGTGGCCTTGATCGCCGGCTCCGATTTCTTCGGGGCGTTTCGAGAGGTGTCCGTGGACGCCCTGAGCAATATCGGGGCTCTGCTGCTCGATGTTTACAAGGACCTTGCATTTGTCGGCGTCGAGGCCGACGTCATCGGAGATGAATCCGATCTTGCGGCACGTGTCGCGCACGATCTTCTCGTAGTCGACATTGGCTTTGGTTGTGATCTCGCCGAAGACCATCACCATGTTCGTCTTGGTGCAAGTTTCGCAGGCGACCTTGCTGTCGGGATCCTGCTCCAGGCAGGCGTCGAGGACGGCGTCGGAGATCTGGTCGCAGAGCTTGTCGGGATGGCCCTCGTTCACGGACTCGGAGGTGAACAGGAAGGTCTCCATTTCCAAAATCTGCAGAGCAATTCAAAATTCATACAGAAATTATGTTCTCTCTTCAGCGTTTGCTAATCGAAAATTTTCCGATGATCTGAAGAAACACGGATCTATCGATATATATATATGTGTGTGTGCGCGCGCGCGCGCGTGGGAATCTGCTTTAACAAATTAAGATAAAGCTTCTACAGCTCATGCTAAGCTCAAAGGAATTTCAATGGCGGAATCGAACCCTTAAACCCCACCGACACTGTAATTAGCATTAATGAAGACACTATAGTTTGTTGAATAGTTGAAGTATAAGGCAGAAACAGAGCAGAGCACAATCAGTACGGAAAAATCCCCAAATCATAAACCCTAGAAAAATCAACAAGCAGCAACTCAGATCTACACAAGTACACAACCCAACACAAGCAAAATCAACAACAAACAACACGTGAATAGCATAAAAAAATCAATAGCGGACAATGCAACTGCGCAGAAAACGAAGAATCAGCGAAGAACATGGCATTGGTACCTTAGGAGAGAGAGATAGGGAGGGAGAGCAGAAGCCAACAGCCAAAGATTGCTGTGCGATTTGCTTGCAAGTCGTAGGGAGCGAATTCGGGCCCATATTTATAGATGGGACTTAGCGAGTGGGTGGGCTGCCATTGAGCTTTCATCAATGGTGGGGACCGAGGGTGGTTGTGCTGTGTGTGCAACGACGACGTTTCAACCGTTGGATCTCGACGTTTGGAATGAACGGTGGAGATTGATTGGAGTCGGTGAAAGGAGCGTGACAGATTTCATTTGGGGTGTGGAATCAATTTTGCTTGTTTTTATTTGGAATAATAATAAAAATAAATCTAATAGTAAAATTTGTCACATTATTTTTTTCTCATTTTTATCAATTTAAGTGTGGATGAATTGCACCCAGCAAATCTTTGATCGAAAAATAGTAAGTAAAAGAAAATGACGTTAATTAAATTTAATTTTTAATTTTAGTTTTGGTGGGAATGGAATAATGAAATTTTAGGCTCACCAACCAACCCATAAAAAAAAAAAAAAAGAAAAGAAAAAAAAGATTATGCTTGGGTTGGTTTAAGTGACGTTGACTGTTTTTATTTATTTTATTATGTAAAAAAAAAATTTGATATAAATTTGTATACGTAAGTGAGTGCCAAATGCAATAAAATAATTGTTACTATATAAATTAATAAATAAAAGTAAGTGATGCAATGAAATGGAATCTGTAATATGAAAATTGTTTACGTAAGTGAGTGAAAGGTCGGAAATGAAGCTGGCAGTAATGACCCTATGAGTGGAAGCCTATACAGTATTTATTTATTAATTAAATGAAACCAAATGGAAATAAGCGTGTTATTATTTAGTTATTTGGAAAACTAATAATTTTATTTTTTTAATAAAAAGTAAATGTATTATTTATAATTATTTTAAAATAAATAATTGGTAAGTGTAATGTTTCATACAAACAATGGATATTATATATATATATATATGATATTTTGAAAGAAAAATAAATATTAAATAAATAAAATAAATAAATATTAATTATTGAATTTAATATTTTAAATAAAATTTATCTATCCTTCAAAAATATTTATGTTTATTTTTTTAAGTAAAAAATCATATTATTATTTTTTTTATTATGAAAAGTAAAATATTATAAATAACAAAAAAAAAATACTCATAAGAATCTGAAATTTTAAATACATTTTTAGGTGACAAAGGAGTAATACACTTAAATAAAATAAACATAATTTTCAATACCTTTGGCTCAGGTTAGATTACATTTTTTTTAAAGTTTTTTAGTTTTTAAAAATTTTGAAAAATAATATTTTATTCGTGCAGGCTAATTATGTCACAATGTCTGAATATGCAAACTAATAAATAATAATATTTTTAATATAAAAATAAGGTAAATAAAAAATAGTATTATAAAAAATTTATAATGAAATTGTCTAAAATCCACTTGTAGTGTATCACACAATTTTAAAACCAAATGGGAGAATTATATTGAATTTTTAAACCGCTACGGGCAATTTTGCAAAAAAATTTAAAGACTAAATAATAAAATATTGAAATAAGTAAAAAAATAATAACAAATTATTTATTATTTGTTAAGTAGAAGTAATAAAATTATGAGTGAATAAATTTATTTATTATAAATAAGTTGTACATGAGTTAGCAAACATAAAAAAAATGGCATAATTATTTCGGACGAAAAGAGTTAAAAACTAAATGTGTGTTTGGTTATCGATTGTATTTTGGTTGGCACTAACTTTCAATTATTTTATTTATTTATTTTTTAGATATTTCATCGTATGAAACCTATTCAAAATCTTTATATTTGGTTGTGTATTCAAACTAAAATCAGTACTATTTATTTTGTTGATTTTTAATATAAATATATATTTTTTTTCACAAAATATCACATTAAAATACTATTTAAATAAAATTTAAATTAATATTTTATTTCAAATCAAATTCAAATTACTATATTTTTCAATAAACAAATATTTTTATATATATTCAAAATATTATATTTTTTATAAAAATAATTTGATTTAATATTTATATTTTGTACTCCATTTATTAACTATACTGTATAAAATTTATTTTATACAAAATAATATACATATTATATATACATTTAAAAATATTCTATTTTTTTTATGAAAGTAATTTACGTAAATCATGAATTAATATTTATATTTTGTACTCCATTTATTAACTGTACTGTATAATATTTATTTTACTCAAAACGATATACATATTATATATATTATTGAAATATAGTTTTTAAAATATTTAAAATATTTATTTAATCATATATATTATCATAAAATAGTAAATAAATAAATTATTTTCAATCAAACTTTCAACTTTAATAACAATCGGTAAAAAAAAAAAATAATAACATTAGTGTGAAATTTTTCTTATTTTTTGTGTTTTCATATTAAGTTGGTGTAAATATATATAAATTTGAAATATTTGTGATATTGTAAAAATTAAAAATAAATTACTAATTATTTGTATTTATGTCAACGCAGCCTTATATATTAAATCATGTTATTTCTTAGGGCCTATTAGGTTTTCAAATTGAATGTAGTAGTTAAATTAAAAGTAAATATTTTATTATTTTTGAACGTCAATAAATAAAGTACGTTCATACTTAAACTTACAAATATCTTTATATTTACACAAAATTTATATCAATACCACTATAATAATTTTACACACTACTTAATTTAACATACAAAAATTACATATTATTTGAATCATTAATTATTTGCAAACAAACATGCACACAATTACACACCAACAAAATTAAATTGAATTGCACATAGTAAATTAAACACAAGCAAAACAAACTCATCCATCATTCTCTCTTCGTGTTGCATATTCATCATCTCTCTCTTTGGCCTTGTTAAAGTTTCTCTTATTTTTTCAATTTGTTCGATGTTTGTTCTTCATTCACCGTAGATTGCCTAAATGGCCAGTAAGGGTGTCAATAGTGCCGAAGCTAAAAACGGTGGTGAACTTCCTAGTATTGTTGTGTTCTTTACAACTCCGAATTCATATTTGGGAGCTATCTACGGAGTCAAAGAGATATCACTTTTTGATTTGGATATTTATAAATCCGTTGTTCTGAAAACCTCTCTAACATTGGACGGTGAGTTCGTGTGGATTCCGATGATATAAGTTCGGATCTTTACAGATTTGTGGTTCCGAAGAATTTCAGGACCTTCAACGATGAGTATGTGCCGGACTCTAGTGTTTTAGAAGCGAATATTTTTTATTTTTTTTCATCTATGATTAACTTTTTTATAACTTCGGATTTATTCTTGTATGAGGTGCCAGAATCTATTAATATTTATTAGGGGATGATTGTGCTGGATTCTGATGATAGTTTATCTTTGTTACTCCGGTGGACATAAACCCTAAAAAGGATGGTGGAGGCTCTGTTACCGGAGGTTACTATGATGTCGTCCGTGAGATCATCCGTGAGTTCTTGAGGATTTACTTTTCTCTTACCATGTCATTGCCTGAGTTTTTAAGGTATACATTATTTTGTTTTATTTACCAAAATTTTAAAGAGGAATTTGCATTTTACGAGTTGAAATGAAAATTTGTATAAGGATAAATATGCATTACATAAAAAAAAAATCACTAACTATTATTTAAAAATACAATTTTTTTATAACATTGCTAAAAACATATATTTACTTTGTATTTGGACGAAAAAATTAATATAATATATAAATTTAATTTAAAAATATATTTTAAAATTTTATATTTAAATATAATAAAATATATTCAATATAAATATTATTTGGTAGCATAATAATTTAAATAATATAAATAAATAAATTTATATATACATAACTAATACTCTTATAAATGAGATTATAAAAATAATAAGAATAAGAATTTAATATGTATGTAAATATATACTTCCCCGTCTAGGTTGGTTATTATATATAATTTTAAAATTTTAAAATATGAATTTAAAAATTTTAAAAATTATATTGTGTGGTATTAGGTTCGGCCGACTCAGTGCGTACTTTCAGGTAGTGGCTACGGGTTCCAACATCATTAAAAAAAATAAAAAAAAATTTATAATACAAATAAATAAAAAATATATTTATTTATTTATAATTAACATAAATTAATTTTATAAAAGATGTTAAATTTTAAATATAGATAAAAATATTTGTTTATAAGGAAAGATGTATAAATAAAGAAATTTTGAATGATTCTTGTACAATGTAGGATGTTACATGTCATACAGTTGATTAAGTTGATTTATATTTGTTAAGTATTTGTATGTTAATTGGTATGATAAAAAAAAATAGAAAATGTGTCAATTAAGATAAGAATGATAGTAGTATTTTTTCATTTAAGAAACAAAAGTATTTTGTGCATAATATAAAAAATTACTAATACTCTTTTTATTCATTTGTTATATATTTTGTTGTTTTTTATTATCCAAACATAAAAATATTTATTTTCTCTTTAGTATGTATGGATTTATACATATTACAAAACTTACATATTTATACTTATTAACATTAATATTTTTACATTAATTTTATACATTATAGGAGTGAAATAAATTTTTTATATCAAAGTTATCACTAACTATCATTAAAATATAATATTTATCAATTTTTTTGCATAAAATAAATATTTATTTTTTAAGTAGACGAAGAGAGTATTGTTTATTGAATATTAATTTTTTTTATTAGAAAATAGAATATATATATATATATAAATATGATATTTTGTACCTGTTGATGTAATTTTTCAACAATAAAAAGTAAAATCTGAAAATAGAGATTATCTTCGAATTTGATTAAATAAATGCCTGAGATTAGGAATTCCTAAGTACGGTAGGATACATAGATAAACTAGGGAAATAAAAAAAAACTACAGACTGGAAAAATAAAGTGGTGATCTCCAAAAGCAATTCTCTTGAATTTGATGTTGATTGAAGATGGTTTCTTAGGTCACAAACATACCTATTTAAAACCCATGTCAACCGCCACCACCAAGTCGTGCCTTCAAATCCGCTCTTCGGTTGAAACTTCCTTCAACTGTCCAGAAACTGCTTTTTCGCCCGACCTGCATACCTTCTGCTCCGTCTCCTT